AATCAACGTTCAGAGTCGAGATACTTTTCATTTTGTAGAGAAATGTTTAATCGACTTAATTATCTAGTTGCAATTTTAGATTAGTTTGTAGCTTTATTGCAAGAATGTTTTGAAAATGAGAAAGAAAAGGAGACCGTTAACTTGACAAGCCTTTATGTAGACTTGATTGAGCTGCTAAAGTCTACGAAACTTCATTGGGTTCTGTTCGACTTTAGAACGCTAAACAAGTCTTGATAAATTAAATAAAAACAACAAAAGTCCAGCTTTTCCCCTCTCGAATGATTGTTTTGCGATATTTAGCTGGTCTATTCAATCGTGCCCAAGTACGTCTGTTTCAATTTTCTGATAAATCAACAATTTGGAGATATGGATCATTACTAGTAAAAAATAATCATCGTGCTGTAATTATCCGAACAGGTAATTGCTAGACGTAACTGTTTTCTTGATAACATAAATTGACAAACAATATGATTGATGCTCTAGACGATCGACACATTACAAAAAAAATTCAAGGAATTCGTCCAGATAATATTTTGTTTATGATACACGAAGTTTTCGAAGGTGAAAATTTATGTTTTATTCAAATTTTTCTGGTAGAAAAAGCTGTAATATTAATTCATTTCAAAATTTTAGGCTTGGTCAATGAATCATTTTATGGTGTAACTTATGATATTTCCTTTCCGTGCCCGGATTGTGTAGAACAGGTAGGTACTGTCTCCTCTTATTCTTGAGTACTTTTCAGTGAGATAAAATATGATTTTTTTAATAGTTTGTCGTTCATTTAGAAATCCAGTGAACCATGGCAATTTTCTTCGACACTCGTTCGTCGTGCAATTGAACTTAATTCACCATCTATTCAATGTCACCGTTTGTTTCATATTGCATCAGTAACTGATTGTGAGTAAATTAAACGATGTTTCATTGAAACTGTTACTATATAATATCACATATGGTTTTAGTACAAGCTGTCATCCCACCAGATAGCAAAAGGTACGAAAATATTTTTTGATCGCTGTGAAGTGTGTGAATCGGACATTCTGACGGCCTCTTGTCACTAATTATCAGCATCAAAACCGATCTTTTTTCTGTTCTTCTGAAATCAACTGGACATAATGGATGTATCGCACATCTCAGTACAGTATCTTCTGCACACATTAACAATACGAACCAAGTTTAAATGAGGTTTAAATTTGTTTAAATTTGCCTGAAATTTTAAGGAAAAGTCAAGAAATTTCATTCTTTGCATAATGGCTTATCCATGTAACTTCTGTGGCAGAGATATCACAGCGTTACTTTTTTAGCTCATTTTATTTCGACTATAACTCCGAAACTAAAACTCGTAGAGAATTTGGAGACGATTTAAATTAAAGAAAAAACTGTTTTCTAGATTTTGAGATCTGATCAGACTCTAGGACACCTATCTTAAAAGAACTGTGGTCAAAATGCTGAGATCTACACCTTAGGTTTCAGTTCTTAAAACGTAGGTCTCAACATTTGGATTACAGTTTTGTGAGGACAGGCTATCTAGAGTCTGGACACATCTCAAAATGTAGAAGATAGTTTCTCTATAATTTGAAACGTTTCCGAAGTCTCTACGACTTTTAGTTTTTGAGTTATAGTTGAAAGAAAATGAGCAAAAAAAGTAACGCTGTGACATCTTTGCCATACGAGTTACTTGGACAATCCAGGAATGAAGCGCGCATTCGAGTCCAATGTCTCCCGTAAAGTGTGAATAAAACAGCTGGATGTAGAAAGAAGCAGGAAAAGTCTGATGTTACTTTTCTTCTTGTCATGAGAGAGAATTGTTTCGGTTGAACTTGTAAATACTGAGACATTCACTCCAATTAATATTTACCACGTTTCTTTTTATGTTGCATCACTCGTAGTTCAAAAATGCTTCATATAATATCATTTTAGTAATTATGACCTTCACTTAGAACAGAGTGTTCGCGATTTAAAAGCCTATAAACAAAACATCGTAAGGGGGTATTTAACTACGATTATAATCTAATCAAACGTCATCTGTATTGATGTAGGCTGTTGATGTTGTTTTTCTCTATCCACCTGATAACGTACCATCGGATTCAGAAAAACTAACTAAAATTGATCCAAGACAAATAAAAGACGATTTAGCAAGTAAAGTTAGAATATAATACTTATATTTCTCTTTATTAATATCATTAATCGTGAGCATTATATTTAGAACATGGTTTAAAAGTTTGGAGTCCAGATTCAATGTGTGAATTTAAAATTGAAAATCATTTTCTCATTATTAAAGAAGCACGTTTTATTCTATTTGGTATTTCGAGTGAATTAGTTCTAAATGAAAGTAATAAAAATTTGTATGATGCATATCAAACAATACAAAATTTTCTTCGAAAACCCATAATACCTATCTTATTTGGTATGGATAAAAGATGGCAAGAAACACCACTTGGTATCGCAATGACAGACGTTCTGTACATTAAAATGCAAGAGAAAAAACGTTATGAATTAAAAATGCAAGAAATAATTGAACGCCTTCAACACGACAAAACAAAAAATGAATTTGAAAGATTAAGAGATCAACCAACAGATGTTTTTATTAGTTATTGTTGGACTAATAGTTATGATGCAGTTTCTAAAGGTACAACGAAAGTTTGACGATTTTCTTCCATCCTGTGTCGAATGAAATTTTATTATTTTTCAAGGCACTAAATCGACTTCAACATCACTGGGATGGGGTGATCCACGAACGTTAAAAGACTTTCTAGAACAACGTGACTTATCTGTATGGATGGATATAACTCGCTTAGGAAAATCAGGTGTACTTCATGATATTGTTCAAGGATTAAAAAAGACAAAAGTTGTTATTGCATGCGTCTCAGATGAATATACAGATTCAGATACGTGTAAAAATGAATTTTTATTTGCTAAAAATACTTTACGACTACCGGTTATTCTGGCTGTATTTGGACTAGGAGATAAATGGAGGTAAAACGAGAGATTTATCTACAAGTATAGAAACACAAAATATTTCTTTCTCTGTAACAGTGCCGCGTTGAGCATCTGCGAACTAAAAATCAATATAGAGTTTCATCGTGTGGTCGAGAATAATTGGAAGAAAGAGAAAACTTACCTCAATTGTTTGAATTTCCTGAGCGGTTCTTTCTTCTTTCCCAACAAAATCCAATGCAAATAACCTCGGAAATGGTCGAACACTCATCGATTCAGCCATATTCATTGTTAAACGAAGAAATTTTCTCTGAGTCAATTCGAACAGCTCCTTAAAGCGCAAAAAAAAGAACAGTTCTTATTTCATCATTTGTCGATATTCTACCTTACTTGATATGCGGTTGTCGTATT